CAAATGATAACATGACTTATAGCGACTATGCAACAATATGGATAACAACAAAGCATGCAGCTATTGCTATCTCAACGTGAATTATCATCTCGAGTTACGAAATTCGTGTTTTTTTGGTCTTTCAAAAAGTCATCTGTTCATTTTGTTTGGATATAAATAGAATCGATAGAAATGATATATTTGATCAAGCTGAAATCATTAAGCAAAGAATATATTTCACCGGCCCCGAATTATTTTTCACTGTTATCAAAATTTGGAGACAAACAATCTTTGGCTAACGCTTTTCTGACAAATGACAAAAAAATTGAAGGAAAGCATTTTTGTAAATGAAATGAATGAAGCGACTGCAGTTTTAGTTCTACTAATATTAGTTCTGTTTCTGTCAACTAATCTAATGTTACTCGAATAGTATAAATAAGTAATCTGATTTCTACTGCTCTTATATAGCTAAGGCAAGAGGTTCAATTAATGATATTCGTGTTATGAGATACAGATATATATCTCTGCCCATTTGCACATTCAATTCAAGCATAATGTGAATCTGATACTTTAAGCTTATTCTGTTAACATCCTTTATACAAAATGCAGATTTGAAACATTTATAATCTACCATTCTTCTTTCAAAAAAGTAAAAAGACTAGCACAGGAAAAAATTTTGTAATACTTTACCTTTATTACTTGATAAACTCATTACTGCTTTATATGGTGGAAATATTTCGCTCGTCAGATAACCACAGTTGCATGCTGAATTACCGGGATTTTACATAATATACTATTCAGGCCACAAACTGACAAACATTATACGTCTATATATATGTACGATTTTCAGAAACCTAGTATATTTAGCTCAAAATTCTTATTTACTTATATCAATAGAGAGAGAGAGAGAGAGTGAATAACAATCATTTCAAAAATTCGGAACATTAGCGCAGCTTAGTCACAGTAATGCTCTTTATGAATTAATATGCTATTTGGAAAATGTCAGGAACCATTATCGTTACTGCAAGTAGATATAAAGAGATAGGAAATATTTCCATGCTTCTTTGAATTCATTAATGATGTAAGAAGCGTCTTAGTTTACCTCTTTTAGTTATACTGCACTAATTAAGGCTTCATCCATCTCCATAAATAATCATATATCATTGTTGTTATAGATAAAGTTTGCAAACGCAAGTTTCTTCAGCAAGTTCCTTGGTTGTTTAATCTATTTTTGCACTGTATCTTTGATTTCATTCATTTTTATTCAACAAGAGCAGTTTTTCTGGTGACCAAAAAATATTCTTGGGCAAATATTTAATAAATTGAGCACTCTCGAGAAAGGACAACAATTATCGCTTTATGCAGTGCAGCATTTCGAATGAATTTGTTGAAAAATCTAGTTGCAATTATTCCGTCTTCTAAAAGATTTTTGTTATTTACAAGCTAGCTTCAGTCTATGAAAATCTTGAGAAGTTTGAAATTTGTTAGCTCAGACACATTGTCTATGCAAACTTTAAAAACCTTTCATAAATTCTGTTAATTTTACTCTTATTGAAGTGAATAGCTACAAAGAAAGGAATAGATTAATCAGCAGATAGCAGAAGGACCATTTTGAAATTTTCAATTGATTTTTAAATATGCATTTCAGTTAAAGTAAGTTTAATTCCACCCGCAGTAGAAGCAATTCTACATCAAAATCCATGTTGTCAGTGTTGTGATCTTGATTAATTGGCTGGAAGAGAACAAATCATTTCAGCTAATCTGTAATTTTTCCACATTATCTTGAATGGTACCCTAGGTAAAATAAACGGAAAAATATGTGTATAAATATATATATATATAATTCAGAAACAAATGTTTCGTAAATGGGATCTGCAAAAGATGGGATTAATGTTGCATTTAGGCTCAATAAGTCCGGTTATTGATTTTTTCTTGAAATCCTATGTGACCAGGAGTTTTTAAATAAATTCAATTTAACATCGTGAATTCTCTCAGCGCATCGTTTGTAGAGTTAAAAGCATTGAAAAGCATGAGTAAGATCAATTTCTTGTCATTCAAATATGTCACATTTTCTCGACAATGATTTCGTGCCACAGGGCCATCCTCACTTTACTCTGATAATCCTGATCGTTCTTGAAAATTCACAATATGGTGTTTAAGTGGAACACACAATACACGCAGCAAGTGCACAAGGGAAGTAAATCAGAAGAGATAATTAATTCAGTGAGTCAAAAAAACCTAAAAGTGTATTACATGAGTATTATCAGAAGAAATGGAAAATAATATAGAAAACAGACTGGTACTTAGGGTATTTCAAAGTTGTGGGTGAAAAAGTAGAAGCGTTATGTCGCTAAATTCTGAAGTTTTTGATGTATCTTCACATAATCTTTTCGTTTGTATTGAATGAAAAAAAAAAAATAAAAGAGAAATCTCGAAAAAGACGATATGTGGAATAAATGATTTGCAATGTTCTGAAGTTATCGAACTAATGGGAGGTATGGAATGGAAAAAGAAAGGGTAACTGCCGGAAGGGAAGCAGACTGCACTATTGTGATGTAGTATGTTGCTCGAAAAATGCGCCAAAAATGTACTTTGCTATGCGCAACCTGGCACCGAAATCGAAATTGGGAACACGACAGATGAAAAGAGAAAGGGTCGAACGATGGATTCGGGAGTAGAGCAGGGATAGAGAATGTAACGGGGACTGAAATCTCGCAACTTCCCTAACTCTATCATTCTCCTTCAAGAAGTTGCTCTTCGTTGTGTCGAATGTAGCAAAGTAACATTTACTCCAATTTCTCCTTTTATCCCAAACATATCTAAGCAAATCTCAAATGTCCTCCACATATTGTTCTAATAGCGTTAGCTTCATGTTCTACAGTTCTTCCAGGAGATCTAACTCCTTCCTATAACGAAGTTAGCTTAGCGCAGCAAATTAACACATAGCTGAAACGTTTTATTCAGCTAATGTATAACTAGACATGTATCAAACGAAAACGAAAATTAACTCTCAAGTTTCCCAATGAGTTAGCAATTTTGATTTTCTGTATTGAGCTTCGAAGTGAGTCTAGCAGTTTGTCTATTCAAGGAACCAATCAACTAATTGTTATGCAGCAATATCTATATACATGATTGATTGTGATCTCAAGAGAACTATGAGTAAAACCCGATATTATTGTTGCAAATGGGCAGTATCGGAGTTGTGGAATCAGAAAATTTAATATTTATATATCTGCATGATACCTTTCTTTGACACCATTCTTCTCTTTTTGGAGCACTTCATAAATCCTTTCACCATATTCTTTTCTCATTCCAGCGATTTTATTTTTGTCACCGGTTTTTCTTTTCTTTTCTGGTTTCTAACTTTCTCATCCATTTTTCTCAGTTCTTAAAATTTCAAATATTCCCTTATCGTAATATTTCCTTAACATTCTTTCAACACATTCAGATTTTTCACATTTTATAAGACATTATCACATAAAGTGAGGAGAAAGGTATCAATAAGTGAACAAACCCTTTGAAAAAAGATTTTTCAAAGATTCTTCGAAAACTTATTGTCCTATGCAGGATAAAAAAATTTGGAAAAACATACTTTGAGCTCGCTCAGTTCGCAGAATTTCTTCCTCATCTTCTTATCCTCCATACTACTCCAGTAATAATGAAGCAAATGGTAAAATCAAATTTCAAATATTCTTTTATCAATCGTTGTATTCTCTTCCCTTCAGAAGCTTACACTTTTATTTCAATCTAAATTTGCAAATGGTAAGAACATCTGCAGATACGAATCTTACTGTAGTAGCTGCTTAACTAATCTACATGATTTAGTACATTTATACACTTACCAACCTTATATCAGACTATTCCATAGCTTTGATAAATATAGAAACCACTGGTCTTTAATTCAGAACTACTTTATTTTTATCTTGATTAAAATAAAATAAAGCAAAAAATATAAGGATGGAAAAGAATGAAAAAGTTTACGCATAAGTCTCGAAGCAATATGCTGTGATGATTACCATCTTCCAGGTCTAAACTAAAACTTGCATTCCTTAGGAGACGGACGATTCAGGATGTTATCACCCTACTTTGCTCCAAAACAGGTACATCCCAGGTCTCGATGGTACACCAAAATTGATTCTGCATTGTGTACCATCCTGGAAAGAACTCCGTACTTAGTTCGATGTAAGGTACCAGGAGTAAGATCATGAAGAATTACTTCGAAAATAGAGGTCCAACAAAATTGTCAAAATGAAATTCCCAACAGCATTTGCATGTAGCAATTTCGTCGTAATTATTTATAAAATACGAAGTTTTATAACACTCATGATTAGCAGTGCGATAATTAGTGCAGAACGTTTCAGTACCACCGAAAGCACTGAAGCCATTAACTGGATGAAAAATCTGCACTGACCAATCATAAATCTTCACCAGGAAAATCAAGAATGGCATTTAGAAAAAAAAAAAAAAAATAAGGAAAGAGAAACTTTGTTTAGCACTGAAACAGGTATGTCCAGATATCGTTTTTGCTATTCCAAAATGCAAAGAATCTGAATTTTCTCACATACCTCCAGGTCAAGACAGCCTGCTCGGCTGTAAAATTTAAAAGTTCTTCAGTGTGATTTACATGTCAATTAATAAACTCTGAATGAATGCATCATTCAGATTAACTTTTCATTAACTTTTTTTTTTTTTTTTTTTTTTTTTAGCAACTTTAATTCCGATAGACAGAACACAAAAGTTCCACCTGAGTTGCTTAACTTTTATAGTCTGGCTTGAAGTCAAATGATGTGAACCAAGAAAAATTAAAACTTTTCCGGCATTTATAATAGCCTAAGGAAGTAAAAATCCACCATTAAAGATTGAGTCAGTGAAAAAATGCCAGAAGTACCATAACAGAATGTGAAACAATCCCAAAACATGATACAGTGATAAAGAATGAGCAGATTAAAACTTAGTTTATTCAAAACAGTTCTCTTAATAATTATTTTAATAACAAAGTTGAAAGGCGACATGAAAGAGATTCATACAGCCATTGCCATTTTGATTGCTGGCATCGGTTGGTAATTTTCAAGAACAATTGACTCGTAAGTGAAGTCATCTATTGTTTTAATGTTTCCAATGAAGCGAACAGTAGGAAACTGTCGTGGTTGACGTTTGAGCTATAAAAAATGCTACTGAAAATTTCAGCCCAAACGAGATACACATAAGAAAAAAAGTCACAATCACCTGTTCCTGCAGTGCGTCGACATGATTCATATACACATGAGCATCTCCCAAAACATGACATAAGTGACCAGTCTGAATAAAAAATTCGTTGAAAATTTCGAGAGATTTTCAACATCAGTCCGAAGGAAAACAACAAAAGACTGTACCTTAAGACCACAAACATGCGCTATCATATGCGTCAGAAGTCCATAGCTGGCTAAATTAAAAGGTACTCCCAAACCCTGCAAATAAAAACTCAAAATCAAAAGTCTCGTAAACGACTGAAGAAACCAAAAAAAAAAAATTATGAACTGGCATCAAAACCAAACCATGTCGCCGGAACGTTGATATAACTGACACGAAAGTTCACCATTACGCACCGCGAATTGAGCGAGCGTATGACAAGGTGGCAAAGCCATTAGTTTTAAATCTAAAGCCGGCTGAAGCCATAAACTTCAAATCCAAAGTACGTTTTGTATTGAAAAAAAAAAAGAAAAACTGTAAATGAATTTTCAAAGAAAAACAATAAACCAAATAACACCTTTAACATTCCATGCACTGAGTATTATACGACGACTATGCGGTTCATTTTTTATCAAATCAATGATTTCAGATAATTGGTCTATACCTTGGTTGGTATAGTCAGTATCCATGCCTCGATACTCAGCACCACAGTGTCGCCACTATAAATTACATTACTGCTTCAATAGTATTGGAAAGCTATTAAAAATGGTAATGAAATAATAAACTGATAAAACGAATTCAAAGAATAATATAATGAAAGCTAAATACGATGGAATAAGATTTTATTGCGTAGCGAATGCCATCTCTGAACAATTAGTATTTGATTGGCACAGAAACCAAGTTTCACCTGAAAGCCATAAATAGGTCCCAGATCTCCTTCAGATCGATCACTGAAACCACACTGATCAAGAAACTGCCGAGATCCATTGGCATCCCAAATCCTGACACCTTTCTCAGATAAATGCTTTGCATTTGTATCGCCTCGAATGAACCATAGCAGTTCTTCAACAACGCCTTTCCAGTAGACTCGTTTGGTTGTCAATACCGGAACAACACCTACAAAATCTCTACACAAGTTAATATTTCAACAAACAAAGTCCCATTAGCTGAAAATAAACGATAGGACGGATAAACCTTACAAAATCTTATACAAACCTTCGCATAACAATAGCATACTTGGTCTTAGTATAAAAAAAATTTCTTACCATTTCGAAGCGAATAAACGGAATGCATTCCAAACACTGAAATCGTCCCCACACCTGTTCGGTCATCAATTCTTTCGCCATTCTTTAAAATGTATCTAACCTGATCCAAATATTTACTTTCATCCTCATTCTTTAATACACCGGCATCGCCCATAACATTACCGTGAGCTCCTGAAGACTTCATTCCTGAACCTTAAACCAGCAACAACCACCAGGTGAACCCGAAACAACTGAAAGATTTAAAATGTGGCGCTAAATGATGCATTCATTTGATACAGCCATTGCTGCCGCGACATGTAGCGATTTTGTCTCATCGACAAGATTTTCGTTTCCATCAGATGAAAAACTCACCTATTAAAAGTAAGGATGAGGAAGAGAATGAGACAAGATGTTTACCTTAATAACTATATTCGATAGAGGAGAAAAGGAGAACTTCTCAGCTGACAACTTTGGACATCTCTCATTCATAATATGGTTGGTAATCGACTACAAAGAAAAGGAACTGCATATGAAGCAAGTAGTATAAAAATAAATTTATCCATTCATTTTTCAGTGAGCTTTAGCTCTAATACTAGCCTGCAATACTCTCATCGGTCTGAAATTTATTTTTGAGACAGTTATATTGCTAATATTCCAAAGATCGATGACATAAAAAAAAACATTGATGAAAGGATGAAAAATATCAACTGAATCGTCTCTGAAATTGTAGCACTCCATATTTGTTTCCTTAAATGTACCGGGGAAAATAAGTTTCCGATCCTTAATCATCTTTAATGATTAAATCCCCATATTCATCTCTCAAGGATAGACATTTTTAGCTTTTGTGATTAATACACAATAAATTACTCATTTCGAAACGAAGATTTTGCTCAAAGAAACTTTTCTGCTTATCAGTATGGGCTGAAAATTGAGGAGCTTTCATTTCCTTAATCCAAATTGTTATCAGTTTGGTGGAACTGCACAGTGAGAATTGTGTTGTTAGCAAATTGATTGTTTTTGGAAATTAATATCATTTATTTCAGCAGTAGGTTTAATTTAAGATTGAATGCTGCTTAGGTTGGTAGTGGGTCATACCTTTTATCGTATCTATATATTATATCAGTCAAAGGCATTTCGCAATGAAAATGAAATGAATTCCAGGAAAAGATATCATTAGAATCAAATAATAGGTAGAGGAATAATAGCTCCCAATAATAAAAGCTTTTACAGATACAGAATTTGTCATTCTTTGTAAACTTCCTCTTTGTGAAGAGCTGCTTGGGAGAAAAGTTCAAATGAGAGAAATAATTCGCAATATTTATTATTATTATCCTGATTTTGTCGGTATAATGTTTAATGTTTACTTTTATGTATTCCATTTTGTGTTGAAAGTTTAAAATTGGAAAAAATATATCACTTACATACTAATCTTAATTTATCTTAATCAAATTTTGAATTATTTCAATTTCTGTAGAAATTTTTGACGGCTCAAATTCGAATATCATTTCAGAAAATTTTTTGATGATCAAAAAAAAACGTGGAAAGCCGGCAGTGTCTTCTTCATCAAAGAATACAATAAGTGTGCATTTAACATTTTACTTGAAGACAATGGGAGATTCTTTTATTGGAAAGCTAGTACTTTTCCCACTGCTGAAAATGCAAAATCCATCGGACTGGTTAGAATCTTCGTTATTTCGAGTTTTCTCGCTTTTTTTTTGAGAACCTTTTATGACAATTTTTTTGACATAAATTGGATCTGAACCTTGCTTTACTATTTATTTGAACCGCATTTTGAAAATATTGTCCGGAATAGAAATTGCAGGCGAATACCGAAATGTGACACGGCTGGATGCAAAGGATGGTATTGTAAAAACGATGAACACAGCCGAAACATTCAAATTGCCTTCAAAACTCGTTATGACTGATATCCTGCTCATATAAATGTTGTTGAGTGATAGACAATGCACTTGATCGTTCACGCTGAAGTCTGCTTTTCATCTAGCTTATCACGTGATAACGTCATTACCTTCTTATGAATTGAGCATAAACTTGACAAATAAATGTGGCAAAGTTTGAAGTACGTCAAACAGTCCTGCAGTGCTGTTAGCCGGTTGCGATTTTGCCCTCATCATTTGTCTACGCATTATTAGAGAACGCCGCACTGCTTATGACCGCCCACAATGCGGAGCTGGAATGCGACATAGAGACGAACCTGAGTTGCTCAGCGCAACAGCAACTCCCTCCCCACTGCACTACTATATAGCCCTCCAACAAAGCTGAAGCGGTATACATAGATGGAATATTTTGATGATCATTCTTTTTTGATGGAGCTGTCTATATCGTATCCCAAACATAATTACGACTCCTTTTTGATCCAAATATTCCCTAATCTTTGCGTATTGCAGTGAGAAAATCATGAATAATGAGAAGATTAAAAATACAGCACTGCAGAAAAGAAGGTACAGCATTACAGTATGCAAATACTTACGATAAAAAACAATACGTCATCAAAAAATTGTGAAAGTAGATAGAAATACGTCTAAAATAGCTAATTGATATGTATAATCTCGGTACTATAAGGAGATGAGGTCTGACTGAGGACATTAAAGCTTTTGACTGCATGAAATAAAGTGAAGAGGAAGACTGAAATTCTTATGTCTTATTGTATGATAAAAAAGGGATCAAAAAGTTTCGTGAATGGATGCGTGAACGATGATGGGTCAATGTCACCTATCATCCCACAGAACAACTTACACAGAGAACGACAATCTACAATGTGTCACATTTCAACAATTCACCACTGCCATCATTTCCATTATCACTTTAGAGCGGACATCATTTGCCGGTGAAATTTTCATGTCTTGTCCCATTTGGTTTGTCTATGTACCTTGGAATCAGAAAATATTGATCGTATTGTTGCTGTTATTATGACTGCCATTGTCGTACTTTTTCCGCGGCAAAAATCTGTTCTCTCAATTTTCCAATCAGATTTTGACTTTTTCTGAAGTATCAACTAAAATTCATAGCATCTTTTCAAAAATGGTTGAATTTTGTTCTTATGCATTTCTGATTTTCATGCAGAATGAAACTGGCTGAATTGGAAATTTGATGTTTTGGAATCATTAATTGTCGCTTTTTTTTCTTTTTTTTCTACCAAAATGAAAAGGTTCGGTTTATGAATGATGGTAACTTTGTTTTAATTTGACAGATTATAGATGAAAATAATTTTATACCAAGGAATTTTTACAGTTTAAGTTCATTAAATCAGATTTCAAAAAGATATTTTTATTTGCTACCAAAGACATACGAACTTTAGAATCATAAAGTCTAACATTTAATTTGTAACAGAGAAACGGTCTGGCAAACTGCAGCCTATATCAGCTTGCTGTTTGAGATAGTGTGTTCTTATGTATCGACAACTTTCCAGTGCCCAGATGGCTTTTATCTATCAACTTTCAACACTGCATTTGTTGGCAAAGAACGTTATTACAAATTTGCATGTTCAGCTTTCGATAATATTCATACGGTTTATTCTTTCCACTCCAATTTAACGTTCACCTTTGAAAGAATTCTTATGATTTAAGATATAATATTGTCAGACAATATATCGTTGAGATCAGTAATATTTCGAATACTTGAAATTATAATTTGATTTATATCTTTAACTGATTTATTTTTTCAGCAGATGAATGAAACATGCAGAATATCAGATAGCGCGTCATCCCACTTAGATGACATATATTTAAGCTGCGGAAGCGATCAAGTAAGAACTGTATTACGGTTAATAGTGTGTTTTCAGACAGTGGCATTGTTAGAAAGTCGGACTTCCAGAAGAATAACTAGAAAGTTATGCCTGATCTTCGATCAGTAAGGACAAATTTCGGAGGGACAGCCAAGTTCATTCAGTCCCAAATGCTGACCCCTTGTCTTCTTCATATGTACATAAACACAAAGACTCTTTTCATAAAATCACAATGAAATGATGATAGGAACAAAGGACAATTCACTACCGTCTGATGCTTATCACTCAAAATTTTCCTCATATCTTTTACTAGCACAATCGTCGAATTTTGCAGTATGAACCGTCAAACAAGTCTAGTAGAAGAGATGATATAAGCTATAAATGGAAAGTGTAATCAGTGAGGCCAAACAAGCAATTGCATCTCTCTGACTTAATTTGTAATTCTGGGTATCCGCCATAGCACAAATAAGTAACACTGCTTCAATTACAGCATACTTCAAATGATCTCATATCTTTTTAAACATTTTTGACTTCATTAACTTTGTATTATTTGCAGTACACAGTGGGTGTCAGATTCATTGAAGATAGCTCCGAAGAATTCAGTGCATGGCAGTTGCTTTGCTGTAGTGGTAAACTGATCAAAATTAGGAAAGATGACTGCATTAATACCAAATTTCTCAATGAGCACCATCGATCGTCAACATTCTTTACTGGTACACAAATCATACGCAAATGGCAAGCAGTGCTCGATGACAAGTCCATTTCATTTTCATATTTGAAATATTATCGTACTGCTGCTGCAATAAGACGTAATATCTGTAGCAACTTGTCATGTTTCGCTTAGAATCCCAACATATATGCACATACACACATACACACACACACACACACACACACATGCATACACTAAACGCACACGCATACATCGTAAAGTTCTAACACAAGCCTTAAAACTGATAAATCGTTAGTGAAGCAAGAATGAAATACAATAAACAATGCAAATAAAGAAAACAAAAAAATTATCCTCAAGCTAACGTTTTGTAACCCTTTCTCGCTACTATTTCATTTGCAGTGATTTGCGGTGGTGGCTCCAACTATGTCCCGTAGATGTTCAGGGTAAGAATAGCATACAATATAGCGCTTCTTCACGAACTCGGCGTCAAATTCCATGGCAATGGACTCGTAACCGTTTTGATTCTGCTGTTAGTTTTCATTTTTATGAAAAGTCTAATTTCTTGTGTTTGACAAGATTGTAGTAAAATTACACAAAAATCGGAGAACACAATTATAATTGTTGTTCATTTCTCTCTTTAAGGAGATAAAGTAACATAAATTATGCAAGAATATGTAATTGTTATTCATTCTTTTATTTAATATAAATTTAATAAGACAATAAGCTATTTTATTTTAAAACTTTCTTACTACAGGTCATTTGTAAAGACACAAGCATTTTCAGAGAGTTGATCCGATGTTCATAAAACATGATCGTCTGGATAATATACATTCAAGATTTTTTGGTAGCATGAATCATGTACAAACATTTTTCAAAACTCCAAATCCTCAATTCGGAAATGAACAAAAAACAGCTCGAAATCCAAAGGTAGGCTCAGGGAATACCTCATACAGCTGGTAACAAAAGTCTACCGATCATTCTACTTGCTTAAAAATATGCAAATTATCTGCTTGATTAAATTAATAGACATTTTGACAGCAACTCCACCGCACGGAATTTTGTATGATTTTTCAGCAATTTAAAGTAACGGGTTATTATCGTTTTTCTTCAACAAAGATAAGAACTATTTTACTAGAATCAAAAGAATAAAAGTATGTCAAGAAAGAGAATTTCATCAAGGACGTTGCCAAAATTACGTCAAATCTACTTTTAAACTGGTAACAACTTATCACATTCTCGTTCGCTGACACTATTTCAGAAGGCAATCGTAAATGCAAATATGAAGACAGCATTTGTAACGGAGAAGGTACTACCACAATCATCAACATCAAAATCTTTATCGAACACTACCGCATCCTTCGCTAAATCTACAACTTTCTCAATGGTAAAAGAAGATGTCGCTATTGATTACTATGATGTTTACGATGAAAATTTTGATAAATCAAAACATGAAAGCAGACAGGGAATATTAGGAGGTGTATCCGATCTCTTGCAAAATATTCAGGTGCATAACGTTGTGTCGCTCCAAAAATTTTAACAAAGTTTTGAAACTTCAATGCGGAATATGCAATTACTGCTAATATTTGCAAACATTTTGTTAGCATATTAACTACTAATAAATGAAAACAATTTTAATGATTGGTAAATAAAACAAAGTTCGACAGATGAGTGATCTCTTTTTTGGTGGTAATGCCTAATATGCTTCGTTGTTAGAACTTTCTAAAGCTGATAGATCAAATAAATTAGTCGAAAAGGTACTAAAGAACAAAAATAAATGCGAGATAGATAACATAAGGCATTTTCTGATACTGTCAACGATGTATTGCAACATTTAAGGATGGATTATCAATAGCACAAGCAGCTTTACCATCTCATGAAAAACAAATTTATGAAACTACAACGACCACCGATGGACCAGCTTTTCTGTTGAGTCGAGATGAAGATTCGCTAACAATCGGCATGCAACATAATACTGAAAACGATGCTAGTAATTCGAGGCTCAAACTTCGACGGTATGTTTTGAATGTTGTGAATTTATTTAAATTAACGAGCTCAATTTTTCATATTAGGAAGAACTTTTATTTTCTTAGCATGAGACAAATGTTTAAGCCAGAAATGCAGCTTTTCAATGCTAAAAGTTCCATTTTAAAAGTAGAGGAAATGTGAACCGAAAAGTTTAGAGAAGGATAATAACAAATTGTGACTGTTTGGAGTAACTATCCAGTTTCTTTTCCAGATTCGGACCAAAACCATCTCGACCAAATGCATTGCAGCCAGTGTCGACATCATTCGAATTAGGCACTCCGGGGGCAATTCAGCAAATGTTTCAGTTTTTTGGTCTGTGTAAGAGCCATGAATTATAATCATTCTTTGATTCTTTCACTCTAAAGAAAAGCAAACCAAAAAGACATTGGAAATGATCACAATTCTCTTAGAGAAAAGGAATGCTTTTAACGTAAACTTTGGAAGATTTATTTCTATTTGAAATGAAAACACTTCCACTCACTATTGTCTACACCTTTCCACTTGTCCACTTTTGTTATTTGATAATGAAGAAACTCCTCATTCTCTCGTGTCGTAAATCTTGTTAAAGGACAAGCCATCTCATTTTTTACGGACTCAACAAAATTTCATTTCTTCAAATGTCATCAATGATGATATCTTCTGGGCAGATAAAAAGGTAGGAAGCTCTTCCGCGGATTCTACAGTAACTTCGGGTTGCTTTTTTATGATAACAGCTTCTTTTTTTGTGATCGGGTTTAATTATCTAAAAAAAAAAAATTAATTGTTGAGTGTTATCGGCTCAAGAATAAGTTCAATGTAGTCCATTCGGGACAAGGTTGCTGGAGCCTGCAAAACTGAACCTTGTTATTTCAGTATTTTGCAAAAAAACAATAAAGGACTCAACTCAACTCATCATTCACTGGATTCACAAACTTTCGTGAGGTTCTTAGTAAATTATTGATTCCCACTTAAATTTACTAAGTCTCTATCAATTTCTGAAGTTTTCGGTTTTCCTGGTCATCACTCTCTTTCCACCGTTTAAACGCAGTGATTCTCTTCTATGCTTAGGTACTTTCCGTTCTGAGTTGATAATAGTACAGTAGTCAATTTGGGCAATGTTCATTTTTTAATCACACAAGTACTGATAAATTTCATTTCGAATCATATGTAAACATGCCAGTTTTTCAGGAACTTTCATAAATAAAACATATTACTGAACACAGAGAATTTCTTATAGGAATAAAAGTTTACTTCACCGATACCTCTACACTCTTCTCTTCTCAAAGATAAGAACTGATTCACTTCAAACTGATTTTTGTTCTTTGATCTTCAACCTTTTCGATAAATTATTCCTCAGCTTTCGTTGACCTACCACGGATCGATCCCTTCTCAACCTTCCGATACCACCCTTCCATCAAACCTGAAACGCTGCAGCTATAAATTTGAAATTTAGGGTTACTTTTGACAAGGCACAAATTGATCTCGCAGAAGTGCTTACTGCTTCTCTTATCGATTTTTATCATAATTCAAGGCCGTGAGCCTTTGCAAGAAGAACAGATTATATTCTTGGTCGTGTTCGATGTGTAATCACTTAAAATCAGAAAAAAACTTGTGCTGAAAATATCAAAAGAGCGGGAAGACGCTTTGGTAGATAAAAGGGACGACATAATATTAGTTACTTTGGTGGCTGTTCTTACAGTTGTATTGGTAAAAAATTCATATTTAGTGTTAACTTCCAGGCTTTAGTGAAGCTTCCGAAATAGAAACCATTTCTCGTAAGGCTTTTTTCACTACACGATTACTTTCTGAAGGGGAATTTCATTATGAAATTATTGAGTGAAAGTAATGTATATTTTGACCTAAAGAGAAATAGAAAAAGTAAAGAGTTATTGATTGGAGTGACATCATTCTTTCTCGTCAACCTTTTGGTGTTTGATTAAAAAGTGAGGGAAGTTGAGATGGGTGTGTAACAACGAGCACTTATTGATAAATACCCTTCACTTGCCTTATTGCATACTTTGTTACTTGCAAGAACTAAACTTCCCTCTCTCCCAACCATTGATTTCTTACTCACTTCCCTTCCTTCAGTCTACTTTTCTCATATTTCCTTTTTTTCACTTTCTATTTTAAAACCACGACTGTTGACGTAGTAATTAATTACTTTACCAGTAAATAAATGTGAACATTCATTTCCTGAACCTTTTTATTTTGCATTTAAATGGATGCAGACTAGTTGTTTGTACGTGGATAATTAGATAATCTACCTGGCATTCGAACTATTTCTGTCCTGAAATTGACTTGGGACTGCAAGGAATAATATCCTATTATTGTCGATTGTCATTCTTTGGTCTTTTTTTTTTAACATTATCGTTTTATCATTAAACGAAAACATTCATTTAGTGTTTACTGGGGATATCAAACAAACTTGATAGGAATCATCGTCATTCAATGGATGACATTCATCAGCCAACTAATTTTGGTCACTGTACAGTTGATGATAAGCGCTTTTCCCTACTGACCAGTGATAATCATACTTTCTTATGCCAAAATAACAATAATGTGAACGATAATAGTGATAATAACGATGATGATGATGATGATGATGATGATGATAAAAATAATGATGGAAGTAACCGTAATGATGGTCCTTTTCTGGTTAGTTTTTTTACTGCACGTGAATGTTAACGTAAATGTCCTTAAATGTATGAATTGTTGCTTTAATGTTGACTACTTTACTTTTGTACAAACCGCTGTTCAGTTATTTATTCCAAATAATCTAAGTTTAGTTTGTCCTAGAGCTCCGTTGAGTCTTCTTCATCCAATCCGAAGTATCACATTTAGGAGCCAAAAATACCAGTACGAAGTACATCATTGCATGCGAGTGAATCAGACGCCTCGATGGTCATTCACAGTGAAGAAATTATGTTGAAAATGTTTGATAACTCCATGCAGGTAAATAAATGCATTCATTGCGTATTTAAGTTATGCGACTGTTTCTGCTCTGCTCGCATAGTTCATTAATAAAATAAAGAGCCAGAGGGCATTTATAGAAGAGTGAATAAAAGAGAAAGTCTTCATAATAATTATTTTCTTGCAGGATACATTGCTTTCTCATTTGAGTACCTTTCGACGAAATCGTGAACTTTGTGATGTTGTCCTTTTTGTGCATGAAAAAGAGATTCTTGCTCATAAGGTCTCATATTATCCATTTCTTCATTTTCATTTAAACGTTTTCTTCCAGTTTAATTCAAAAAAAGTGTTTTATAATACTTAGGTGAAACTTTGTCATATTTGAACTTATGAGAAAGTTTTCAGATTGTTCTGGCAGCTTGTTCACCTGCGCTCATGGATATGTTTGTCAGAAGTGAGAACGGAGACCGATCTTCAAGTAATTTCTGCTGACAATGAACATATAATTTACAAAACGGCCTTTTCTTTTTGGGATAGAACACCACCGTACTGAAAAAATTACGAGGAGTGGAAATTGCTATAAGAATTAGATTAGATGTTGTTAGGGTTTTCTTTGCATTATTATTTTTTCCAGTAAGTTGTAGTCTTCTGTCAATAAGAATTGCAGAACGTGTAAGTACAACGATGTTGTCGACAGCAGGTACCGCTTCACCACCACTGACAACAGCTCTTGCTTTACCGATAACAACACAGCCATTTTCTTATTACGAATTTGCTGAAGCTGATTATGATTGTTTCGAAGCTATTGTAAACTACGCATACTCTTCTCAGTAATCTTCCGATTATATATTCAATAAATACAATGCTGATTTAGTGCAAATTCTCATTTTGATAACTATTTCCATATTATATTCATATTCAAATTTTAGCAATATTTGTTGTGATCTAAACAAAATATTTTCTAGTTTGGAAATAAGTAGCAGAAAAGTTGGCGAACTCTATAAAACTGCCTGTGCTCTGCAAGTAACTCCGATTGCCAGAGCTTGCGCTCGCTATCTTATCGAAAACCTTAATATCACGGATTGCATCGGTAAGCTATTATATTTCTTTTTTAAAGGAACCATGAAAACTGTGATTTCGTTAAATAACTGTTTTCCAGTAATTTTCAGGGATTCGACGTCAAGCTAATATTAATGATGATGTACTTGTGGAACAAGTTGATAATTTCATTGCTAAAAATTTTGCACAAATCGTTGATGAAAATCCAGGATTCACTCATTTGCCTCTTATTAAGGTATTAATAGAACCACTGATCTAAGGAGATAAGCTAAGTTCATTTAACTTCGATTACAAAATAACACTTTAAAAGCTTTGCAGGTTCGTTTAATTTTGAGCAGTGATGATATCAAGAAGCTTTGCTGTGGCGAAGATATCGCGTTGCGCGTTGTGCAATACTTCCAGTCATTGCCTCATATTAATGATCGCATCGAACAATGGATTGAACAACTTGTGGAAAAGGTACTTTAAACGAAAGAAAAATAGAAGTAGTTTAATATTTTAATTAATATTAAATAAATTTGCAGACACATATGTTGTACACCGACACAGACTGCAGGTTGCAGGATTGTTTGGGGATGGATGACCGGAGTTCTGTGGGAGCGTCTGACATAATCCAGGATTATAAGCGTACGGGTGGCTATTTACCACGCACTTACAGTGGAAGGTAGCTAGCTTTATGAGACATTTTTCAAAAGTACTTCTTTTATGCTTCATCTAATTGTTTAAGACATTAATATTGAATATTTAATATTAACAGGGGCAATCTTTGAAGAATTGTTTTTCAGCAATGTGTTGGAAGTCCAAAATCCTGCTCATCATATCACAGGTGCTACACAAGTGCATCTGAATTCAGCTCGTCTGACCAACACAAAACTATCGTCAGCGGAAAGTAATAGTTCATTGAGCTCAAACGCTGAACCCGATGATGAATCTTACAAACTGATCGCTGTGCATCGAACAGCTGGTAAGAATAAAAGTAAGGTAAAGTTCTAAGTAAGCATGAAGACTATGTAGGTTGGTTTTTCTTGATTTATAATCATGCTATAGTTGTTGCTTACATTTAAAGCCGGTTTTAATGTATAAATTAGCAATCAACCATTGGATGAATTGTTCTAATACCGAGGGATACTATATGATATTAGAATATGTGTTTACTACTTTAACCATTCTGTAATTCAAGAAGACTTTTGGATCACGCTGGCAGTATTCCACCGGTGTTTGGTTGCGCTCAGTATTCAGCTCTCAGAAGCTGAAAATGTTATAAAATCACGTACGACTTCACAAGTTGTTGAACCTTCACCAATTTTTGAAATAGAGCAACAACAGGAAATCGCAGAGGAAACAGTTGTGAGGTCTGAAATTTTTATTGTGAACCTATGATGCTAATAACTTCAATGTTGGTTATTTATACTAGTTTTGGGATAAAGAGAAAATCCAAAGAAAAAGTATTCTGCTTTCACTGAAAGCATTTTTTCGGCTATGTCCTCGACTATTTTTTGTAGCAGTGCTTCAGCTTTTCGTTATAGATTGGTATCATCAGAAAGCAGTTCACGTATCCCACTACCACATATGGAGAGTCCGAGATGTTCCGTTGGAGGTGCATTCATCAATGGGAAAATTATTGTTTGTGGTAAGCATTTTTCCTCATATATATGTGCTATAATTTTTGCTATTTATGTAGCAAAAAGTTATAGAATATCATCTTTAGTTTACAGGTGGTTATGATCGTGGCAAGTGTTTGGAGTCAGTGGAAGAATATAATTTATTGAAGAAAAACTGGCGTCGTTTAGCCGACATGGCACAATGCCGAGGTCGTTTCGATGCAGCTGTTGTGGGAAGCAAAGTTTACGCTGTTGCTGGTGCTTTCTTGCTCTAGTTTAATATATTGAGTAAGCAGTTTTTGAACAGAACATTTAGTTAAATTTTTCCTTCTGTTCATCGTAGCATTTGTTTCATAGTTTCTTTATTAGGAAAAGTTCTGTGTGTGCTTCACAACCATTGTTTATTTGAACAAATTAGCAATCAGTTCATTGATAAGGTAGTAGCGGAAGTGTGGATTTAAAAACAGTGGAATGTTACGACTCAGAAAGCGAGAAATGGTCATTGGTGAAATCACTACATCACGGACGCAGTCATAATGGTTTTTTTTTTTTTTTTTACATTCATGTAAGAGAATTCTTATGGCTAGAAAATTATATCAAAAATATTTCAAGCGAATTTATTGAGTTCTGGTATTAAGTAAAGTCCTTATTGCTGCAAAAGGAACTCCTCTATTTGATAAAAAGAATTAAATCACTTAGTCGGCTTGGCTTTTTGCCTTCTGCTTCTATTCACAACTTTTATTTAACTTTATAATATATATTATTGTTAATTTAGCTTTATTATTAGCAATACGCAAGTTTCATGCTCTTGCTAATTTCAAAATATGTGCGAAGTTGTCGAATTTAGACATGAGTGTAAAATTTCTTATTCTATGTTGTGCTGCTCTGGATGGCTTAATCTACTGTATTGGGGGTTGCTGTGAGCAGATCGTTTTGAGTGAATGCGAGAGGTATAATCCTGAATTAGATGAATGGGCGTCAATAACGCCACTACGAACAGCACGTTTCCAGGTAATATTCTCTCGTCCACAGTAGACCTTTTTATTGCTGCCTATATCTGTGTAACGCTTCTTAAAAGTTCTTTGGTAGGCTAGCTGTACTTCATGGCATGGCCTCGTGATTGTTTGTGGAGGATGCAATGGTTGGAAATGTTTGGACTCAGTTGATGCCTATTCTCCGAAGACGGGAAAATGGCAAAGACTAGCATCCTTGAAAACAGCTAGACGTGGATCTGCTGTTGCCGTGGTAAAAGGTTTGCTAGAAAATTTTTCGGTTAAATCTTCAATAATAAGACTTTGTATTTTGTTAAAATTGAGTTCTGCTCTGATATGAATGCATTAGATTATTGACTGTGTGATATGAATGGCAGTTTCATTGGATTGGATATTAATTAAAAAGAAAAAACACTTTCTAGATTCATTATTTGTTATTGGCGGTCATGACGGCACGCACTCGTTGAATTCAGTAGAAATCTTGGATGATCCAACTGGAGAATGGCGCTCAGGTCCATCACTTACTATACCACGTGCTAATGTCAAAGCTACAGTAGCTTCGGGTGATGAAATATATCTTTTGGGCGGTTTTGATGGAACACAATTTCTTTCTTCTATTGAAGTGCTCAACAGTGGTTCGGTTTATTTCAATATCAAGAATTCCTTTGCTGTCATTTTTTAATGGACTAGTTAATTCTTAAATTCTGTAGTAAGGACGAGGTCGGATTCCCTTACTTTAATAGATTTAAGATTTTTTTCATAATATTCCTTTCCCTTGTTTTCCACCTTCATTTTCTCTTTTAGCAGGAGAAGAGACTGTCGCATTATAATCGGAGTAAAGGAAATCTGGACTTCGCATAATATATAATTACAGTGGCATCAGTGACCTATTAGGAAGTTTGAATGATTGCAAGAATCACAGAATAGTTTTTAAAAGTATTTCCTTATGTCAAAAGGGGATACTTTTATGGAAATTGTTGTAAGGGGAATTTTCATTAGATAATATAAGATTTTTAATAACTGAATTGCACGAATTGAATTTGGAGAATTTCATGTTTACTGGAAATGTTTATTTTTTTAGAATTGCAAGGCTGGCGGAATTGGCAGTGAGAGACAAAATTAAATGAACTGGAAAAATTAGTCACTGCTACCAAAAAGAGTCAGAAGAATGTAGTACCAAGTTATTTTTGATGTTGAATTGACTACTGATGTTTCATATTATATGTTTACACTTTTTATTGCATCAAGTATTAATTGGAAACGTTGTTTTTTCAGTTTTATCTTTGCTTGCTTAGTTAATTGTAGAACCCAGTTAATCTAGCTAACTGGGCTTCTGTGATTTTCGTTTTAATCAGTGACCGGTGAATGAGACACTAAAAATGTTAACTTGTTAAGATTGGATATGAGCATCAAAATCTTTCAATCTGAACAATTATAAAATCTGTACGAAGGAAGTATGTTAACAGTATTATGTCAACAGCCAAATAGAAGACACGTAACTGAAATGACCCTTCTTATATGTTTTACTGTTGCCGCGAAAACGATTGGAAGTCTAGTGAGTAGATAGATTATGCAATAGATATCACTCTGGAGAAAAATGCACAGAATAAGCAAAATAAAAACACGAAGTCAGGTGAGAATTCCCTTTAAAATTTTGTTTGCATGGTCTAGTGCTACGGTTATTTTCGTCACTCTACCGGTTATCTGAGCGAAGAAAGCACTGAACCTATTTGGAAGCTTTTGACTTCAATGGTTCTCTTAAATGGACATATCCCGTAATCCCAAACTCCTCCTTTTAATTTTTAAGTTTAAGAAAAAAAAAATGAATAAGTTGTCCCAATTAATGAAAACATAACTTCTCGAGGAAGCAAGGCGTGTTTTTGTATTTATATAACGCCATTCGCCGCAAATAATGCCTCTTATGAGTATTTTTTAATTGATATTCGAGCAAAGTTTTTATAAAGCGTTTCTAAATTCCAGGACTTTTGCTTTGAGGCTTATTATTTGATACTGTAACTGTTGTTTAACCTAGTCCAGTAAAAGATTTAAAAAAAAATAATAATACAAAGAAATCGCACTTGATCGCCACATCCATGCATCATAATTTTTGTTTATATAGCTAGCGTAACGTTTAAAGCAGCCGCACGTAGGACATTATGAAATGCGCTTGGGTCACTGGATCGTAGTACTTTTGCATAAAGTGTGAAGTTTTGTTTCTCTTTGCCCATGTTTTCTGTAGTTAGTGGTCTTTATGCAATGAAAATTACAAATTTACTGACTGATGTGTCAACACTGTTTTGGTAAAAAATTAACCAGATTTTCCTCTTTTTTAACCTTAGTGATAGTATCGGATCGAAATATATCATTTGAAATACATGACGAAAGACATGAAGCTGGTATAGAGCAGCTCGCATTTGTTTCAGTCATTTGTTGCAGTTAGATCTCTAAGCAAAGATGTAATACTAAAAAAAATGTTGACCAGAACTTTTTTGTAGTCGCGAAAAATATGTCGGTATGAAGTGTAGCGCATATTGTAGATATGTTTTTTGTGTCTTGATATTTATGTTTTTCTGTAAAAATTGGTGTAATGACAATAGCTTAGAATAAATAATTTATCCGTAAAAGTAGTACTGTTTGAAGAAAAAGAACTTCCGTCATCGAATTTGCACTGAAATTTTTTGCGGGGAATTGTTTTTTCGGTCCTATTTCTCACGGAAATAACGGTTTCACGAGGAGTGCATATTCGTGTTTTTTATACAAACTGATATTTTAATTCATTTTAAGTTGAGGCGCCAGTTTCATATTATTATGGCACCAGTTATCTTCCGGAGATTAAGTTGCTACGGATTTGCTAGCGAAAGTTTATCATCATTAATTCATTTTCATTTTATTTCATGTTCGATTATGTAAACATTATACAAACATACTACTGGAGCGGTTGTGCCCGAAATACTGGAAATCTTTTCGAGGCGCATCTGTATGCCAGATATTTGTCACAGAGATCATTCATTTTAATCTGCCAGCTGGTTATGTTTTCAATTCATTAAATTAATTACAGCCATAAAGCAGTCTTTTTTAATCACTCCCATTTTAATTATGGAATTGTGAACGTCGTTTTTATTATCTTTGTTGTTGTGATTGTAAATAATGGTTCATTTTTTTAGATCTGGTTAATTAAGGGTATCACGTACAGACGAATACAACTGCTTGCAATAAGCATGGATAGAAAGTACCTTGATTTTTTTGGAACAATATTTTGTCATAAAGAGTTTTGTGGTATTTGCCTCTTCATGTTTACTTTTGCATGGAAGTTTAGCATTCAGTTTTGCGTTTAAAAAGAGAAATTAACTTAAACTGTTTAAAAAATATAGAAAAACTGTTATGCATATTCCTAATGTAATTTTGTTCTCCAAATTCTAAATTTTGTGCAATTTTTCTGTAGGTTATATTGACGCCAACACTGAAGTCATTCAAATGTTAATCAAAAAAGCAAGTTCTAAAACTCTGAAAAGGTATGGAGCAAGTACAGTTTGTCTATCGATTATTTTTTTATGGATACTAGGTTGGACCGATTACATTTTCGAGAAATCTTTCTCAAAATTCGATTGGCCACCATATATAAATGTTCGGGAGCAGGTAATTTCTAGCTTTCAAAAATTTCTGGTATAATCTAGGATAAATAAATATTACAAAAACTTGAAGATATAGCCAGGTAAAACGATAATATTAATATATTGCACAAAGCCCCTCTCCCCTTCTTGTGTTTTATTTTAAAGAAAATCTAAATTCAAAGGCGTAGGATTTTCTTATTAAGGATATATCAGTTTTTGTTGTATTTAAAGGCATATTTAGAAATTGTTGCCCAATTCACCGACTACAGATTTTGTTCTTATATTAAAAAGATTGCTTTTCTGTAAATTGGTGCACATTACTAATTAATGCTGGAATCTATTATTCATTTGTTCAGGTACTACTGGAGTTAACTGGTCAAGCAGCATCTTATCTATATGAGAATGACTGGGCTTACTTCAAACCATTTCATATTCCGACATGCGAGATCAACATGGAAATGAATAAATTTTTATTGATTATTGTAAAATCTTCACCATTACATTTTGTAGTAAGTTTTCAATAAAACTTTTTCCGAGAATAACTTTACGAAATGCTGCTAACTCCCATTTCAAAAACCGATCTTATGACTCTTTCATGATATCAGATATCCTCGTCTTTTTTTTCAGATAATTGTTTTACTAAATAACAAAATAGAACTTCTAACCTAGCTTCATGCTTGCATGAAGATGTCAAAATTCATTCTTTAAATCCCAAACGCTGATGTTTGGAGTTGAAAGGAAAAACGAAGTTACGAAGCTCCTTGGTGTTTAATGAAGTATTAATTAAATGAAATATTTCTGGTCTCAGAAACGGCAAGCAATACGTATCACATGGGGTTCAGTGTTCAATCATTCTGATTTCACGGTGAAAACAATATTTGTGATTGGCCGAGAACCTTTTAATCAGGAAAATAAACGACTGCAAAAAGAAATTGATTTATATAATGATATACTAATTGGTGATTACATTGACAGTTATCGAAATAATACATTGAAGGTTCGTTATTTTTGAATTTCTTTACATGTGGCTGAGGCATTCGGGATATAACTTCGGTAGAAAAACTCAAATTAATTTTTTGAGTTTTGAGCCAGCTTAATTTTCAATCAGAAGAAAATTAAATCTTGTTCTGATAAAAAAGGATGAATTGAATAAATAGTGCTAGGATGTCTTGCCACATTGTCAGTAAATGAAACATATTGAAGCCTACAGTTTATAGCTTACACGAAACAAAAGTTTGTGTGGCCTAGTGAGATAGTTTTTTATTTCGCCTGGGAGTTTTTAAAGGACAAAAAGATTAGTAGGATTTGAGTTTTGTGAATTTTTTTCGATGATTACTGTATATTTCTGTGGCTTAATAGCACTAGATTCCAAAAAATCCGGTTGAGGAATTCCTCTCTAATTCTTGTCCTATATAGTTCATTTAGTTTATGTAGACTATCATAATGGAGATGTTACTGTGACATATGAACAAGAAAAAGTGGAAAGGAGGGAAATTTTAAAAGTTATACTAGAAACGTTTTGAGTTTAGAAATTAAACCAGAAGCTGTTTGGATTGCATTCCAAATAGAAGCAATCGTTTCCATTCTGATATTTTGGTTCCTTTTCAGTTTTTATCAGCAGTGCAGTTTTCATTCAGTTATTGTCATCATAATTATACTGTTCCCTATGCACTTTTTGTTGATGATGATTATTTGGTCTTGGTGCAAAACCTAGTAGCAGAAGTGAAAAAATATGATGTATATGATCGGCTGTATATGGGTTGGAGATTTGATACGCGACCATTTAGGACCAGATTTCATAAACATCGGGTAAATTGTTCAAACTTCGGTTAATAATAGTAACAATTAATTTACCAGTGGGATTTATATGGGAAATTCTTTTTATCTTGGATTTGTAGTGAAAATTTGTCCTAACTTTAAGTGAAACACAAACATAGATATTAAACTTAGATGAACCGACTGTCATATTTTCAAAGCATTTTAAAGCTTCTCAAAAGTGCGATACTAGCTGAAAAAGTACTTGACGTTGACTATTCAATTCTTAATGTTTGGCGGGTATTTGGTATGACCGAGATTTGCTAAAGAAGCAATTGATTGTATCCTTTGTTTGCTGCGAATGGAAGAATGCTGCAAATGACCACTGGATCAAATAACTTATGGAAAATAAAACAATAGCCGAAAATGAAGGGAATGAAAGATACTGTGGTTTTTTCTTATTTATCCTATCTAGGGATGAATATGTGTTTTGAAAAGCTGGATACGCTTTCTCTTGAAGTCATTAAACTTGATATGCAATAATTTAGACATTTAGACTGAAGTGAAATGGGACTATATAGCGGTTTAAATTTCTTGTTGGGATAGTGATAGTGGATGCCAGGAATGATAATGCAAAATGAAAAATCAGGTAAAGGGTGAGAATTTCACAGCGAACTTATGCTAATAACAAAATTCAGAACACGTCGATTTAAGGAGCTGAAACTTTCGTAAAGAACTAAGTCAATCCCTTAACAGCTCAAACCCGCGATAGCAATCTGTTATCCGAATGATATAGTATAATACTATAATTATTGTGCAGTCGGCTAATCGCTGACTTCAGTTAATTTTAAAATGAAAACAATATTCAGAAATTTATTAACACAAAGCGTGAATCTACGAGCTAAAAACTATTAGGAGTTCTGTTTTCCTATTTTTTGCTTAATGTAATCATTAATTCGCAGGTATCAATTGCAACATATCCCTTCAACCGTTATCCACCCTATATATCTGCCGGCGCAGTATTGCTATCATTACAAACCATTCGCGAAATGTATTATGCGATACAACATACGAAACTTTATTCGTATGACGATATCTATGCTGGTATATTGGCGAAATCATTGAAGCTGACCGTCAAGCATAATAAAAATATGCGCTTCTGGAAGGCAAAAATTGGCGTGAAAGAAGCAAAAACCCTAATTTGTGCTCATGGATTTGAAGGGAAACGCCTGAATTTAATTTATAACAAATTGAGAGCTGAAGGAGTTCTTTAGTGAACTAATAAACGAAGTGCAGAGGAAGGTTAAAATTAAGAATCTTCATAATCAATTAGTTATTTCGACTTTGCTTTAAGTAAAGAAAGTATACACACTGCCGACTACTTGTGTTGATGGACACAGTAACTAGAAATAGTCTATATTTCCATACATTCATCTTCCAGCACCCCAGGACATATTTGTGACGTTATTCCGGAAAGAGAATTTCTTCTCACGAAATAGCAGAACTATACTAAGTAAAGTTGGTCCGGACATATCTAAATTTCATATATATATATATATATATATATATATATAGGACTGTCCTTAATTTATTTATTTAACTGTGATTTTACCAAATATCTGTTAACACTAAAAAAATAGTGATTCGTGAATTGAGTGTAATAAAGGAATTCTTCAACTGCAGTTCGCTTTTTTATGGTGTGCGACTTTAGTAAATCATGTGCCTTGGTGTTATCCTTTACACTTCACTAAATTTGCTGTTAATTAGTCGTTCTGCTAATTTTGTATCTTTTAGCTGTCCGAGTCCCTAGTAGCATGACACAACTCTCACATGGTAAGCAAACACTCTCATGAATGGGAGGCTTTGGGAGGAGAACTCTCTCAGGAATTAATGCTTCCCATAATCACTTTCACTCATAACAAGTTCCCGAAAGCTGTTCTTCATAGCTCTTAGAAAACATTATTAATTTGCTCATTATACAAATTTGAAATGAAATACAAGGAGGCGTACTGCATGGCTGTCGAAACATTGTTCCTAGTAAAAGTGATCATTTTGATAATAACTCCATCATTGACATAACATATCCGTACTAAGTAAAACAGCGAATGTTTGAAGTTATGTTAGACTAAAGTTACAAAGACTACTAAATACTTTCGAGCTAAAACCTGTTTGGTATCTACACTTAAACAGTGCAACAAGTTTCGGGACACTCCAAATTAAAATTTGTTTGACACTCAAATTCGACAGTATGACAAATTTCGCTGTGAAATGTGGATTACATTTCGAAACAATCCAACATAACACTTGTTTCAGGTAAACAAAATAAAAAAAAAAAAAAAAAAAACGACACATTATACTGAGCTTCTAGAACGTTTTCTTTGCAACTTCACGAATCCACTGTTTAGCAAGTTCGGACTTCAATACAGGAGGTTCTGATATGCGTATTGGTCCCACAGTTTCTTCCTTTAAACTCTAAAGAAACTGACGATATAATTTTAAAATAGAGTGCAATTTATTCAGAATAAAGCATTTATGCATCGGTTGTGTGATAATGAGTCGACTGCCAAATTTGGTAGACAAAATTCTTTTTTAATTACCACTACAATTCTAATTATTTAAGACATGTATAACTTCAACAGTTTCAACAGAATAATCGATAATAAGGCGGAATCGTAATAAATCTAGATATGTGGGACGATTACAGCAATTGGTCGTGACAATTGTAAGAACTCAAAAACACGAACAATTACAAACGAAGCTGAGATTTAAATCAGAGATACATCTTAACTCTGAATAACTCAATGATCTTTTGAAAAGTGGCGAAAATGCCATCTTTTGCATGCATTTTCAATAAATCTGAAACATACGCTTATTTGATCCAGGTTGTCTTTACCCCTTACAGTATCGTCCATTGTTGTATCTTGGAATGTCAGAACTCGCACTGGCTCCAAAAACGTTACTGTATCTTCATCTTCATCTACCGTAAATGAGCCTGTTAAGGATGCCAGTGGCCTATACAGTTTCTCAACAAGAGTCCTAGTTGATTTCCCTTGAACTGAAATTCATAATACAGCGGAAATCAACCTTTCATAATACTCTTGGAAGTATGAAACAAAAAACACCGCAAGATTTTTTCGAATCCTTAGAAGATGCAACATTTGCACTGTACTACTTTCTTTTCCACGTAAAAGAACAAAGATTAAAATGATTTCCAAAAGACACTTTGTTTGCAAGCAAGGCTCTGATCACTTCTCGAATCACTGCTCCCTATTAATTGTAGCCCTGAAGTTGTTGCTTCCCTGCAAAAGAAGCAACTACACATATGTCAAATGATGAAAGACTCATGTCTCATTTTTTTATCAAAGAAATGAACACTAGGATTGTCGGTATTCTTCATTAACAGTGCGTAATGGAAAAAAGAAACGAAAGCGAAACTTACAAGTTAACAATAGAGATGGATGGAAGAGGAATAATTGGATCTACTCTCTCGACAAGCTTGTCAACCATATTCATATTATTTGTGCAGCTCTCAGAGATATCTGGAGATACCACTGATTCGAATGAAAAACTTGATTATATGTCATAGAAAAATATAGGCCTTTATCTATGTCAAAAAAGAAATTCAAATCCAAATTGTATTCTGTAATATAATCTCTACTCTTCGTTTTCTTCGTAGCACTATCAATAGTTTCGACCATTTTTGTAAAACTAGTGCGCTCAAACTGTCTAGCTTCTAAACGCTCCACTTCAGCTTGCATTTCACATTTCATTGTCTTCAGTGTGACCATCAAACTTTCGATCAGTCTCGCAGTGTTTTCACAATCCTCAGTTCCAGCTTCCAAGTAACGCTGGAAAATTTTCGTACATAAAGTCTAGTCATATTAATAATTAACGGTATAACCAATTCTCCATCATCTATAAACTAGATGACAGAAAAAGCTACAACCATCAAATATTTGAGAATAAATCGGTGAAATTAAAGCGTGAATTCTTCACCTTCGATTTAGAAATTAAGATAACTTACGTTATAAGTACAACGTTGTGCTTTTTCACTGACTACATCCCAACCACCTGATTCTTTGAATTGTTTTAGTTTCGCATTGAAAAATTTTTGGGCAGCATCCATATATTGATTATCGGTCATCATTTTCACTAATGATCTGCTTTCCAAATAAACTGCGATCGAGCAACAAATAAACATCAGCAAGAGAAGCGCTTTAGAACGACATAAAAAACGCTCTTTTAGTGGTACAGCGGCGTCTTCTCCTCATGCAATACACTGGTCATTGAATAATATTAACGTAGTGAATCAAGATGGTATCTCACTCTGAATATATCGACAAAATCTAATCTCTGAAGAAACAGTTAAAGAAGCAAATGTAAACATTTATATGTAGCCAAAATCTTATTTTCAAACAGGGCGAAGAACTGCACAAAATATCACACCGTTTTCAATAGATAAAATAAAGAATCGCCCCACTGGTTAGATAATTCAGTTGTGAGCTAAATATGAGAAATTTGGCTGTAGCTTTACAGACAAATCGACAGAGAATGCATCTTCTCGGAACTGCAAACAACATAAGATATTTGTCCCTCCTAATATCAACGTTCACTCCTCACAAACAAGTGTAAATTCGAAATTCGAAACGTTATCCCGCCCCACTCTCAGCGTGCTAATAGTCACTCAGATAGCTCATTCTGAAACTATAATCCCATCACACTAACTTATGACGGGCACTGACTTGCGAGACCTAAAAGTAACTATGGTCAAATTATGTGTCGCGTGACCTTTACCCTGCCGTGAGCTCCTGCTAGATAAAAAAGACTTGCGGATACATACGCACCTCTAAGTGATAGTGTTGTAATGGTGGTTTATTCGGTAATCCGTGGGGCGAGCCTGAAATCTGTATACCAAGTACCTGTGTCTTCTAGTTTCGTCAGCTAGGACCTTCTGTTTATGTCTCTTCTGTCCTTTTCTCTCCTAACGCAATCTGAAAAGAAGTTGACAAGAATTGACCTATGATTTGCTTTTCATATAATTTGTAGCAACTGTAAAATTTGAAAACCAGTTCGCTGCGAGACTCAGCCGAGCAGTTAGTGTGACGTCACATTTGAACCACTTCAGAAGTACGACAGCAAATCGAACTATCCACATAGTCTCGTGAAAAAGAAGGAAGCAATCAAAGTAGCTCTATTTAAACTACAATGAAGTCATTTCTCTTAACAAGTAAGTTTTCCGTGTTATCAGATGTTTACTTTTTATACACTACGACTGATAAGATTAAGAAGGCATATACATCATGTTCATGTGAATTATTTTTACCACTTATTCATCCTGAATTGTGTTTTCCTTCTCTTGGGTCAATCATTTTCGAGTTAATTTGTCAGAAGCACAATATTTTCTTTAAGAAATTAGAAAGTTAGAGAAATTGATTAATATTAAGTAAAAAGATGGAAAAGAGAGAAAAATATAATATTTTATGTATTTTACAATATAATTGTTCGCTTGGTACTGTATTGATTTTGTGATATTTGATTCAGCTACTAGTGAAATTTTCAGTTAAAGTCAGTTCTGGTGTACTAAAAGTCTAGAATATTACTTATTTATCTGCTTATTCCACCTCCAACTTCTTTTATTTAGGATCGGGCTTATCTCAGTAATCAAATTATTGAGAAATGCTAATTGATGTTTAGCGCTTTTGATGTCATAGCACCATTCATAAGAACATTGATGAATTAGTCTACGATAAGGTTATTTTTCACTTGTTAATAGTTTTTTTCCATTCATAACTGAATTTATAGTTTTGGTTGGACTGTCGCATGCACTCTATGATGGTAATCGTAATGTAATCCAATTAACAGAGTCGAATTTCAACAATAAAGTGTTGAAAAGTGATGAAATATGGATTGTTGAATTTTTTGCACCATGGTAAGTTGCTAGCTGTTGTTACACCATTTTGGCACATTTCTTATATGTTTTATCTTTGAGGATAGCTTAAAATATAGTTTCTTACAGGTGTGGTCACTGCCAGAAATTAGTTCCGGAATATATGAAGCTGGCAAATGCCTTGAAAGGTATTTTCAAAGTTGGAGCGGTGGACATGACACAACATCAGTCAGTGGGTGCACAATATAATATACAGGGCTTTCCTACAATTAAAATATTTGGTGCTGATAAAAAGGTTCCACTTGATTACCAAGGCTAGTTTTCTTCTGTATTACTTTTTAGTTTAACAGAGTTCATGCTCCTAATATAGATAATTTTCTTTATTTTTTCGTTCAGTTTTTGTTGAAACTTTGAGACCTGTGGAATTAAACCGTTTAAAAATCATAGGAATAAAGTCATTAAAGGTCCTCGGACGGCTCAGGCGATAACAGATTCCCTAATAAATGAGCTTCGAAAAACAGTAAATGCGAAACTGGGTATTAGCAGTTCAAGCCAGTCGAGAGGTGCTAATGATAAGAAAAGCAGCGGTAAATATGTCATTGAATTGACCGATAGCAACTTTGAGGAGATGGTGCTTCATAGTAAAGATATTTGGCTTGTGGAATTCTTTGCACCTTGGTGCGGTCATTGTAAAGCTTTAAAACCACATTGGGAAATGGCTGCTTCGGAATTAGCTGGTAAAGTGAAGGTATAAAGTGTTTCTGTTTTTGACAATTTCTTACGAATACTATTTGCTTTATTTCACTTTTTTGTAGTTATTTTTTCATTCAAAAAGCTATCCTTTCAGTTTTATTGTTATTAAGTATTGTTTTATATGAGTACTTTTCAAGAAACCAACACATTCAGGTTGGTGCTTTGGATGCAACAGTACATCAGGCAATGGCATCACATTTCGGTATCAAAGGTTTCCCAACCATAAAATATTTCGCACCAGGTTCAAGTGCTAGTGATGCTGAAGATTACGTCGGTGGACGAACCAGTGATGATATTGTTCAATATGCACTTAATAAAGTAAAAGCTTTGCTTTCATGACATTTGGAATGCATAGTCTGTAAATTTATTTACGCTTTAAAATTTAGATAAAGATTGTGACAAAATGTGGCAACTCGGCCAGTGAAAGAAAACAATAGATAACATGATTTTCTTTATTTTCCAGGTTGCTGAAAATATGCCGGAACCGGAAGTTGTGGAAGCAATTTCACAAGAAGTTGTCGATAACGCTTGCAGAGAAAAGCAGCTTTGTATAATTGCTGTACTGCCGCATATTCTTGATTGCCAAAGCAGCTGCCGAAAAAATTATTTAGAAGTGCCGTTTTTTCATGTAGAGAATATTTTAAAAATTAAAACAAAGTATGTTCCTTGTTTTTAAGCTACAAATTTGCTTATTTTACTTTAGGTCTTGAAAGAATCGGCAAAAAAATTCAAACGAAATGTGTGGGGTTGGGTATGGACTGATGCAGGTAAGCAAACTGAATTGGAGGAAGCATTTGGCATGGGCGGTTTCGGTTATCCGGCTTTGGCAGCGCTGAACTATCGTAAAATGAAATTTTCGATGTTAAAAGTTTGTCTTTAGTTACAATAATCTGTCACGAGTTATAATTTCTTGGTTCACTGCATCTGTAGCAAGGTTATTTTGAAAAGCATATTGGCAGAGAGTTTTTGACGTTATGTGAAAGCCAGAGCAAGTCTATGTTGAATTAGAATTGAAGCATGTGTGATTTTCAGGGTTCCTTTGGTGTCTCTGGAATTCAAGAATTTTTAAGGGATCTTTCTTATGGTAAAGGTCAAACAGCACCAGTGAAAAATGCAGAATTCCCGAAGATCATGAATGTAGAACCATGGAATGGTAAGGATGGCGAGCTGCCTCTTGAGGAAGATATCGATGTTTCAGATGTTGATTTGGATGAAGAGAAACCGAAGAAAACTGAACTGTAGTTTAAGATTAACACGGAAAATACCTCGTTCTAGATTGCACTCGTTGTTTTAAATTGGTTTGTAGGGACGGTGACTTCCTCGCAGTTTACTGTGCTTTATTTTTTGAGTGTTTCTCTCTCTGCAGCACATCCATCCCTTAAAATTTAGACAAATTTTGTAAGAAATGGGTCGTACTGCTGATATTATATATTTTTGGAAATATAATTTATTTAGCAAGAATTAGTTTAAACCGGCTGTATTTGTGAGTAATGTTATCGTACAGTGCCGTTTTTTCATGAATGCAACTGGTTTATACGTGCATGTTTTGTTGGGCTAAGACAAGGTATCGGATACATTTGCGTCTAATACATAACATTATTTTGACACCCAAACAGACTCGTCAAACAATGTTTCGTATGTCATTGTTACTTTATTTGTTATTTCCTCTATATGCATCACTTTCTGAAAGTTAACTATTCACGCGATGTAATTTACTTTCTGTTTTATTATTGTTTTGACTTTGTGTATTAGGTTTTGATTTGTAGTAAGCATATCTTATTACTGAGCAATGAAGTGAACGAATTTTCATGATTCTGTGTAAATTTTTATTCCTAGCGAACTATATGACAAGTTCATATCATTTCTTCTAGTTATATAGAACAGTTGATGCTTCTCTCACCCTGACAAGATTTGGATTTGCGGTGTGTAGGACCATCATAAGTAAACAATACTCGAAGTATTCGACGGTATTGATACTTCAAATTATTAAAACATCCAATGACATTATTTTAAGTCACGTCAGTAGTGTAGTGCCGAAAAAAAAAAATTGGAGGAATCTTTAGATATGAAGTGCAGCTCGCGTTCCAATTTTCTTTTTCATGATCACATGCTTGGATATCATTAATTGACCTCACAGAAGTAAAGAAAAGCGGAAATTAAATTCGCTAAGACTTCTGATTGGTGGGGGTGTCTTTTCGTTACTAAACAGATCCTGGAAGAACAAAGAAACAATTTTTTCGTAAGCAACCACTCAGCAAAAATTCCCATTTAACAGGTTTCAAATCGCTGGGTACGCATAGACGAAATTGCATTATGGATGTGAGATAAAGTGCATGAGAAAGTGATAATTAAATATATCCTAGAAGCAGCGCAACTTAATTTTCTGGAAATTCCGGTATACGTTTTTCCAGACCAATTAATTATCAAAACCATGACGTCTAAGTCCACATCAAATAATTCTTGGTTTAAAACGGAAATGTCATGTCGCTTTTTTCTTTTAAAGTATAAATCAATAAAATTAATAGCATTTTAAGAAAAGATTTTCTCATAAATTAGCATTTAAAACAGGCATGTTAAATGCAACGGGAGCTGCATAAGAACAAAACCAACCTAAATTTCTTTAGAAAAAGATGAATTTAGCATGGCTTAAAATGAATTGTAAGGAAAGGAAATACAATACAGTCAGCACAAAGTACGCATCCTAAAGTACAAAATCCAGTTTGGTAATAATCCCTCATCAAGGGAAACACTATGGCTCAACGTCTAAATTTACTGTATTTGAAAATAAGTATGGAATTTTAGCCAAACAAGTTGCGAAGGAAAACACATAACTTAGAAAAAAATTACCACTTATTTTAAAATTAGCAATTTTGATCATATCATACTTTTCCTTATAAACATCAGAAAACCCACCTTTTTTATATCTTATTAAGCTACAAAATCAACAGATACTAAGAAACATGCAACAATGGAGCCCACAAAATAATGCCTGCGAATTCATCTCCATTTCGAAACGTTCTACGAAATAGAAATTCCCTGATATATCCCTCAAAATGTGCCCTACAAGTTCCATTCATTGCAAGAAATTTTGCCTTTGCTTCGTTGCAAATATTCTGCAGCAAGACATTATTAACACTAAGCTTTTGTCCATTGACTAACTCAAACCTCTCCACGTAAGTTTCCGTGATAAAAATAGGATAATCTAGTTGATTTAGCCCATCGATATATGTTCCCTCATCGGAAATTAATATCGTATCACGCAGAATCCACTGCAATACTTCCTCTTTTAGGCGTTCTGTTGTATAATCTTCAATTGCAATAATTATACAGTTTTCTGTTTCTCGTTCCACCATGCCAATTAAATATGGATGCTGTTCACCAATTCTTGTTTTGTACAAAATCAATCGCCCAATTTCCACCACACTACCTAAAACATTTTAGCAATAAGAAAACACAAGTATTTCAATTGTCTCAACAACATACAAGTGAAAATTTATTTATTTCAATTAATAAGGAGCTAGGTAATCGTACAATTACATTCATGATACTTAAACAACACCCACAATTAAACACATTGCCGCTTAAACAAAACATACCATAGTAACCAATTAAGATTTCGTCTGATTAAAAGGCATTTATTTGTTAACAATTAAATTTGCATGTGTATAGATATGGATACACATGCAAATTAAACATAAAAATACTTCAGTTATCAATTATCATTTGGGACACCAAAAGTTATCTCACCTGGACCACCAATTGGTGTTTGATTTGCTTCAACAAAACCGGAAGCGATTTGTCGCATATAATCTGCCCAAGCAACAGACATTTCGCTGCTGAAATGAGTGTGCAAACGAATTTCATGCAATTTATAATTCTGCGCCCACAAATACATAAATTCGATAATATCAGCTATTGATAGATGATGTCCATGAAATATACTTCCATGTCGGATGGAAAGTGATGAACAATAATTACGTTTTCTGCCACTTCTTCGTTCTTGCTTTGTAACCACATGCATACACCGCCACTGTAACTTGATAAATTACGACATGCATCTGAATGAATTGTAAGAAAATGAAAAAAAGTCACTATCACAATCTTAATTTTATATTAAAACTGAACTGAGGATGTGAAAAATAATTGAAAATAGATATGAAAATGGAGTCCTACAAAACACAAGCTATTTCTTAATAGGGTTAAAAAAATTATGATCAGTTGCTTAAGAAATGAGATATGGAACTTCAGTAGCATTCTTTCCTTTATGTCTCATGTAAAGAAAAAAATGAAATATGGCAAAAATCTAGAACTATTCACGAAAACTTTTTTTCGAGAAAAAATCACATCCTATTATCTATCTGCTACGTTATCATTAAACTCACATTCTTAAGCAATTTTTATATAATATAGTACTTTCACGTAATTGTAAAGTAACTTGTAAGCAATGTGTAGACTGTAGACTTTAGTGAACAATTTAGAGCAATGATTAAATGAAGGATTAAGCTACTCGAAAGGATATACAGTAGCAGCATTGTTTGTTTTCCTGCGATATTACAATACATTCATTGAAACAACTTCTAGGATTGAATAAGGAAATTTACAGTAATCCAAAATTGAAAACGCGCTAGGATAGAAAGACTGCTAGATGTTTAAAAAAGTGCAATTTTGAACTAGCACAATTTCACTTCCTTTCTAACCTGCAAACCATCAAGTCCATTCCTGCTCCACAGAAGCATCATTTGTCCACAACGCTTACACTTCATTGAATTTGAAATTAAGCTATATCGTGCAGCAAATTCAACAGCCATTTCGTTCGGGGAAATCAATTGTAAGAGCTGGTCATATGTCAAACCATGTAACTTCGACAGCCTTTCATCCCATGAAATAACTTCTTCGGGTCTCACAATATAATACCGAGATGATATCTTTCCACCTGAAATTCTTAATTTGCATCTTAACGCGATTGGAAAAATAGTAAACTCAAATTGTTCAGGGAATCAAAAACCTTTTTAAATAATAAAAACGAATTAAATCAATGCCACTGACACATCCCCGAGTTCTTGTTTAGCAGTTTCCCTCTCTCTTATTTCGTTTTTAAATCTCTAAATGATTTCTAAGTTCGAAATATAGAGAAAACAAAAAATGAAACTGTGACCAGAAAAATCACTATATAATATTAGTAGTACCTTCAGTGTTACTTGTATCAACCATACTTTATTACAGGTATATTTCGGTGACAAGAAAGTAAGGAATTCGCGATCAGTAAGAAGAAAATCTTCAAGTCGTTACCATGCACTACCTGAAAGAATCTTTACTAACTGATTTGAAAAAATCTGGTAAAAAATCATAACATGAATGACCAAAAGCAGAGTGATATAAGAAAACAATTCCAATTTGCTTCATAAGTGAACAAATTTAATTGCAGCAATTAATTTAATTCCTGTAAGTAACATAATCATCAAAAAAGAGATATCTAAACTTCGAAAAGTATAGCAGTTACATATCACAGTGCACGGAAGGTTTGCGGATTCTACTTTTAGAAACAAAGAATTTCATTCCACTTAAACATCAAGTCATTTCTATTTTTCTCACTTGTAGAGAGCCATCAATTACAACAGGTACTTTGGCACAGCCAATCGCGAGGATCAGAAGTTGTTAGAGATAAACCGCATCGCTTAGCTTATTATTATCTGGGATATGAATAAGTTCCATTGTAGTAAAAATAACTTTCTTCCTTGTAAGGACTTTCGTTTCAAAAGGCAACTTTTGTAAAGATTCATTGATAAATCAATGAACCCGGTTCCCAGATGTTATCGGTAAAACTCTTAAGTTTGTAAATTCATATAAGTTTCCCTTCAAGAGAGAAATTATCAAAAGCTTCAGAGGCATCAAGTCAATGAAGATTCACAGAAACAATCGATTTCCAGAATTGCTTTTACTCCAAATGATTCATACGTTACAACAAAATATGGCTCGGCCGTGAGAGTTTTCGCGAAACTCATAGTTAAAGAATGGTTATGAGGTTTTGTTTAAGATATGATAAAAAGGTGCTTTTACTGATTAGGATGGTTTTAATGTTTTCTACAAAAGCTGGAGATGGTTATTTATTGAAGTCTGGTCATTTGATGCAAATTTTGCTTTCAGACACTTTTTGAAATTCTTGTGATAATCATTTCGAGGCAGGCGCTTATCATAACACGAGATCAGAATGTCGTATATGTTACCTCATTTGAGCAATGGAT